GTAGTAGTAGTAGTAGTAGTAGTAGTAGTAGTAGTAGTAGTAGTAGTAGTAGTTGTCGTAGTAGTTGTCGTAGTAGTAGCAGTAGTTGATGTTGTTGTTGTTGTTGTTGTTGCATTATCGTGTTAGTTTTAGTAGGTTGTTGTTGTCATATTTCTTGCTGTTGTCGTTTTTGTAACGTTGTTTTTGTCGCCGTTGTTGTTCTTTTGTAGTTGTTGCTTTTATTGTTTGTCTGTCCATAAAAGGAAATAAGTCTTTATCTCCCGCGGTGGTTCTTTGGACATGTTGTTATGTGTTTTTTTTTCTCTCCAAGCGTTTGTATCGTGTAATAAAATTCTCGCTCAACTTCATAACTCACCAAAGCGGCCAGCAGTGCTATCTCTTGCCGTGTGTCCCATTACTGAAAATAATACAGTGATTGGGAGCTTCGTGATGGGCCATAAAACTAACCCATTTCCTGGTGGTTTGTGCTACGATCATTTTCGCTTGGGGCCACAGGTCGCCGGTGATTATGGCCTTATCTTGTGCTAGTTCGTTTTGTTTTATGGAATGATATACCTGACCAAGCCGTTGACAAAAGGAAACGCACGTAGTTGGCACATGATAATTTCAAAGCTAGCCACATAACTATGAACGAAATCGTTAAACCATTGGTTTGGGCTCCGTGACATGGGTTTGGTTCCATGCCAGAGCTATGCAAATGTTTGGCAGTTTAAAAAGTTAAAGACAAGGGTGGGAAGAGAGATTTCAGTAATCATAGCTTGTGTGTAGTATTATTTGTCCGGAAATTGTCTGGCGCAAGCTTTCACATGAACTAGAACGAAATAATAATATCCGCACCCCCTTCACACTGATATTTCATTACACGCTTGAATGATGTGAAAGGGGTTTAGAGACAGGGATCGACCATTGATTGCTTTGAATTATTTATGAACTCTTTTTCAGGTCAAAAAGTTTTCACATTCTTAAAATTGGCGTCTGTGGTGTAGCCGTTGGTATTTTGCTGTTGCACGTTGAAGACGTGTGTTTGATTCTCGTTTTGGGAGAATCTGTGTCGAGTATCTCGGTCTCTCTGCTAGGACATTGTATCCGTCTTAGCCTGGGTTGACCCTTTTAGGAAGGGTTGAAGTCTACCTAAATTGTCGATGGCGATGTAAAACATCAAAACTGCTGAAGAAAATGCATGTAAAATATATGGCGAGAAACTGACCAAAATCTGCAAGGAAAGCCCAAGAGAATTTTATAAAAATGTGAAGAGCATGCGGATAAGGAAAGACCCATACAACCCGACATGCATTATAAACGATAAAGAGGGAAATGCCATTGTTGGCAAACATGCAATCAAGAAAAGATGGGAAAATTACTTCCAAGAACTGCTCCACCCAGACGCTTGCCACGGACAAGTAGAGTTACAACCATCATATGGAGATCAAACAGAACCACCAATACTTCCGAGTGAAATAGAAAAGGCACTCAAGACCAGCCCCAAGAACAAAGCCCCAGGACCAGATGACATTACAGTGGAAGCCATAAGAGCGTGTGGAAACACCGGTATACTGTGGCTGAGGCGAATTTTCAACTGAGCCTTGGAGCAAAGAAAATGCTCAGGAGACTGGCAGAAAGCCATAGTGGTACCATTATGGAAATAAAGGGCAACGGACGTGACTGCACAACATATAGAGGCATCTCATTGATAAGCCACTCAGGAAAAATATATGCAAAGATACTAGAGCAGCGCATAAGACCTCTACAAACAATCGAACACTACAAAGAATCCAACATCATCTTTATAGACCAGGAGAAGGCTTTTGACAGAGTAAACCATGCAAAACTCTAGAAGACACTCGAAAAGTATGGCGTCAGAGGACAAATTATGATAAATAATGTCAGAGCTCTATACAAACAGCAGAAGCTCAGTAAGAACGAAAGAAGGCAATACAGACTGGTTCAAAGTAAGATCTGGAGTACGACAGGGATGCGTTCTATCTCCCCTCCTGTTTGTAATATTAATGGACACAATAACGCAAGACGCAAACCAAAGCCCAGAGAGCCTAAATGAATTTCTGTTCGCAGACGACCAATGTCTTATTCATCATGACCAACAAAGCCTCCAATATCACACTACCGAACTTAACAACAGCTGTGAGAAATTTAACATGAAAATAAGCACATCAAAAACACCAACTGAAACAGGTGAAGGAGTTAAATTTATCTTGGCAGCACTTTTTCTGAAAACGGGTCCATGGACAGAGAAATAGAAATACGAACTAAAAAAAGCCAACACTGTCACCTACCAGCTCGCACCCCTCCTATCTCATCCAAACATCTCCATGGACACAAAGAGACAGCTTATCACCTCAATATTCATACCAACATTATGTTGTCAGTGCCAGACTTGGACTTTAAGAAAAACACATGAAAGCAAAAATCACCGCATGCGAAATTAAATGTCTCCGCAAAACCCTAAACATCACAAGACGAGACAGGCAGAGAAATGAAGAAGTAAGAGCAGCTATCGGCACTGAGTCCTGCCTGTGTTACATAGAAAGACAGAGGATAAAATGGTTTGGCCACCTGTTACGCATGTCACCTAACCAGCCAGCCTCGAGAGCCTACAACGCCAAGCACTCAGTCTATAAAGGAAGAGGAAGGCCCGGCAAAAGGTGGATCGAGGGTGTTAAGGAAACCCTAAGAAAACATAACATCACAACTGAAAGAGCTGCCCAGCTGGCCTACCATAGAAAACTGCATCTCCCCATGACGCTTAACGGCAACAGAGGATGAAAAAGTAAAAAGTAAGTAAGATGTAAAGCACTTACATGAAAAAAGAAGTAGAAACGCCAAAGATTTCTGTTACTGTTACGGCGTTCTGCGATGGCACCATTTGAAACTATTGTCCCCATGCAGGAATATTACTCTCTGAGTCTTGAATCTAATCTTTACAACTTCTTCCCAAGATCGCTACCCTTTTGCCACCCCACCCCGTCTCCCTTCCATCAACCCCTCTATCCCATTCTTCTCCAATCTTCCCTCTTGTTTAATTTTGTTTAATTGTTTCTCCCCACCCCTTGCCATCTGCTTTCTCTTCCTCCCTTCCCTTCTCCCCTCCCTCTTCCCCGCTTTTCCCCTCCCTCACCCCCACTTCTCCCCTTCCTCCTTCTCTTACTTCCCCCTCCTCCCCCTTCCACATCCCCTCCTCCTTCCCTCTCCTTCATCTGCCCCCGCCCCCAACAAACCGATGATGTGTGGGTTGAACAGTCACGAGATCTGCCCGGGAGAAGGAGAAGCTGGCCAACATCATGGCCTACGGCAAAGACCAGCCCCGTATCCCTATGGAAAAGGTCAAGGCCAGACTCCGGACCCCCTCACCTCTGCCAGACCGTTTTGACGAGTGTAAGTCTGTCTGTGTGATTATATGATGTCTGTGTCTGCCTCTGTATCAGCTATCTGTGTGCCTGTATGTCTGTTTGGCTGCCTCTGTATCTGTCTGCAGGTTTATATGTCTGCATGTCTGGGCGTCTGCATCACTGTATCTGTCTGCATTATGTCTGTGTGACTGGGTGTCTGCATCTCTGTATCTGCCTGCATGTTTATATGTCTGCGTGTCTGTATGTATGTGTGTCTGCATATCTGTATCTGTCTGCGCGTTCCGGACCCTACACCCCTTTTCCAGTGTGTGTGTGTGTGTGTGTGTGTGTGTGTGTGTGTGTGTGTGTGTGTGTGTGTGTGTGTGTGTGTGTTTGTGTTTGTAAGTCTGCATGTTTGTGTTTGTGTGTGTGAATTTAAAGGAATGATTAATTTATGAGTTCTTCAACTTGAAAATAAAAATAATAATAAAAATGATATTAATAATAATAATAATAATAATAATAATAATAATAATAATAACAACAACAATAATAATAATAATAATAATAATAATAATAATAATAACAATAGTAATAACAACAACAACAACAACAACTTCTTCTTCTTCGTTTTCTCGATTTCATCACAGTTGAAGCCTGGTATCTGTCTTAAATTGGGCCGTCCTGCTCAGTTCATCTGTCGGCCCGTATAGCTTCTCTTGTAGCGTCAGTGGGGTTGACCACGTTTCCTGTCTCAGGGCCCTGTGTGTCTTGCAGTGCTGAAGGATGTGTTTAACGGTTTGGTCCGCCTCTCCACACTGACATTTTGGTGATTGTACTAGTTTGAAACATCTGTACATATGTTGTCTCAGTCTTGTGTGTTGTGTCCTTAGTCGGAAGATAATCACCTGTTCTTGGCGGGACAGTTCATGGTAGCTATCTGGTGTCTGAGGTGCTTTAAATAGTGTTTAGTGTTTTTATAATAGTTTTTATTTCTGTGTAGTTAACACTGTTGTCTGGTTGCTCTTTCTATGCTCCTAGTTTGGCCATTCTGTCTGCCTGCTCATTTCCCAAGACACCACAGTATGATGGAATCCACTGCAGCATGATCCTCAGATATGGGATGTCCTCAATTACTTTTCGTAGCCTTTGTAGTTTGCCGGCAGTGATTGCCTGCAGTACTGACATGGCTTCTGTTAGGAATACTATTTTGCTTTGGGGGTCTACCACATTCTTGATGATGTTTGCTGCATGTATTAGAGCCTCCGTCTCTGC